CAACCAAACACAAAATACAACATTCACAGTAATCATATTCCCTGGTAATTTTTTATTCCCACTGTTAATCTTACATTCCGTGAACCAAACGCACTCTTAAAGTAATACCCTAATGATCCACCGTCATAAAAGCTTATATAACAAATAAGTACATAAAGTATACCATATTTTTTATTAAGTACTTAAGATATTTTTGTTAAACTAAATAACTAAAGTTATTTTTTTTTATCAAATTATGTACCTAAAGTATTCAACTTTTTCATTTAAGTATTTAAAGTATTTTTTAATTAATGTCACATGTCAAATTTTTAGAACTTATTTGAAAAAGTTTGAATAGCTTAGGTATCTATTTTGACATACAATGCTTTAGGTACGTATTTTAACTAAAAATATAATTTTAGGTATTTATTTTGATAAAAAAAATACTTTAGGTATTTTAAATACTTATTTGTGAAACAGGCCTTGTTAAAATTCAACTAGTTACTCATTTTTAATTGATCTAATAGGATAATATATTAAATTTTCATATAAGATCATATGTTTAAATCTTAACGTTTATAACTAACTTAAGAGTATTATTCTATAATAAATCTCAACAGTAACCTAATCAATTAATAGATTGAATACGAGTAATTATATCAAAAAAACATAACTAATTAACTGTTAACCATTACTTACATCACTAGAAACGATTTAAGATCTTATGTTATGAAACATATTTATAAAGTTTTAAACGACAAAAACCCCATCAGTCCCCCTCGATCCATTCCTACACACTATAATTCTCATTATCCATTTATATAAACATAAACAAAGAAAAAGAAAGTAAAACAAAGCCTTTTTTTTCATTTCCATTTCCAGGAAGTTCTACCGTGCGACAACCTTAATATACGACTAAGAAAAGACGTTACTGATTTTGTTATTATTTTTTAATAAGACCGATAAAAAATTATCTAAAATATTATTATTTCTACCTAAAACATTAATATTTTTTAACATTTCTAGTAAAGTGCTCAATAATAACAAAATCAATATAAAAAAAATAATGTTTTAGGTAGCGTTTTATCGGATATGTTAACAAAACCCGTAAAACGTCCAATAATAACAAAATCAATAGAAATAATAATGTTTCCGGTAATTTTTTACCGATTTTGTTAAAAAATAATAACAAACCGATAATACATTTCCTTGATAATATATTAATACTGCTACACGTGAGACTTTCCCATGTACACTATCATATTGTCAAACATAACCCATAATACAACTTCAGTAGTTAGGTTAGGAGATTATAACTAAGATTAAGCTAAAGACTACCATAAAAGCACTTGTTAATAAGAGTTTATTTAAAGAAATATTTTCATTTAATGCAATAAAAGGCTTCACCTTCACTTGCCATTGCATTAAGCTCGGAAATATTTCTTTAAATACTACCTTAATCAGTGTTTACTAACTAATTTATTACATGTACATTAATTAACCCACTAGACTGTTTTCCAAGCATGGATAACGTGGCAGCAGCTGCACCTACAAGTCACGTGATAACCCGAACCCGAATGCAGCATCGGTGACGAACCGGCGGCGGCGGCGCCACTATGGTTGACTGAGAAAACCCCATTCCAGATCTCCGTGAAGGCTCTGATAATAACCCCATGATAATACGGCGAATTCAGCTGCAGGAAACAGTTGAGAAGCTCCCTCAAATCATCCTTGGAATATATCTCCTTCTCCAGTATCATCTGCAACATCGAGTGCCTGAAATCAAGATAAGGGTCGTCGGAGTCTTTATCCACCGCCATGATCTCTCCTCCGACGCGGCCGAAGCCCCGTACAGTCGCCGTCGAACACTTGGAGTCCACCACGTCGGGGCATCGAGGAGGAGTGCCGGTGCTCGGAGAAAGAGGTGGCGGTCCTGGAACAGCTTGAAGAAGACGAGTAGGTGTAACGAGAACGGGGTTTCGGTTTCTGCTTGGGTTTCGGTTGGGGTTGAAGAAGCTGGCGAGTTTGGATTTCTTGCAGCCGCTGCAACCTATGCTAACTGAAACCGTGTTAAGTGTCAGCTTCTTTTTGTTGCTAAACATGGCGAATCTTTAGGGTTTTAAGGTTTAGGAGATAAGAGAGACAGAGAGAGAGGTTGAAGAAGAAAATGACTGACACTGATGCATTTGAGACGAGAACCATGGAGATTTTTTTCCACCTAAAATCCTGCATGTGAGCAATGAGGGTCCATGGCTGATACAGTCACTGTTCTGTGATTTTCACGTTTATTACGATTTGATCAGAACCGTACAATTTCGATGATAAAGATTGGTTTTGATTTTATGGATTAGTTTGTTATTGGAAAAAATGGAGGATCTTAATCAGATTACGATAGAAGATGACATTTTTAATTGCAGGAACTGACATGAGTACTGCAAGAATGATATTGGGATCAGACTTGAGTGTATAGCAGTTTCAAATTAATTCTTTAGCCTCGGTAATATATGAACGTAAATGGTATCCCGACTATAAGATATTATTTTATTAAGTCCTTTAATTATGAGATATAACTAAGTATTGAGTTAAAAGTCACGACTGATATTTTGAGCTAAACGTTAATTTGTTGGCTATAATATGATAAATTTGATTCCAAAATCTCGAAAGACTGTAACATACGAGTCATCATATTAACGTCTAGCTTAAACAACCATCATTTTTTATGAAAAATGACGAGTCTAAAACATCATCAATAGTTAAGCAACCATTTTGTAACTTTTAATAGTTGAGAGATTTAAGAAGCAACACTCCATAGTCGAAGAACTGTGTTGTAACTTTTTGATAGTTGATGAACTTAATAAAATAATATTATATAGTCAGGGACCATTTACGTTCTTCACCCTTGTTTAATTAAGTTCATTTTAGGGATAATAGCGAACGTAGTCCCTATAAGACATGAATTTTAATGCGATCTATATATTATAAAATGTAAAATTGAGTAGTTAAAACTTTCCTTCTGTATACTTAGGGGTGTAAACAAGCCGAGTCGAGCTCGAGTATTGATGAGCTCGACTCGAATCGAAAACTCGCGAGCTTAAAATTTTTAAGCTCGACTCGAACTTAAAATCTTAAATTGAAGCTCGTGAGTAGCTCGAAAAGGCTCGAAATGAAGAAAAAAAATTCTTAAACTTAACTCGATTGAAGCCTCAAACTCAAACTCGAACAAGAACCTTAAATACAAGAAATCTTACTGTATTTTTTTAATAAAAATCAATACATAAATATTAATATTATTAATTTTATTTCTAAAAAAATAAAATTTAATATATTATATTTTCGAGCTGCTCACGAGCTTTTCGAGTCGAATATCGAGTAGCTCGTTTCGGCTCGTTAAGAACTCGAGTCGAGCTCGAGCTCGAGTCGAGTCCATTCGATCCGAGTATTTATCGAGCCTTGATCGAGTCAATCTCGAGTAGCTCGCGATCTGTCTCGTCTCATTTACAGCCCTACGTATACTATTGTATTCTCAATGTTGGCCATTAACATCTGTCTTTTCTTTTGGGGGGTAAACAACACATTTAGTATCTCAATTATCAGTTTTTGGTTCGTTTTAATACTTAAACATTCAATTTTTTCAAAATCATACCTAACATATTAATTTTTGTTTCATTTTAGTATCTCGTCGTTAAAAGCTTAACATACATGCTTCGTCTAGACCTGTAAACGAACGAACGAACACGAACGAGAATATGTTAATGTTCGTTCGTTTAACTTTAACCGAACAAATGAACGAACACGAACATAAACGAACAAAAAATTTATTGCTCGTGTTCGTTCGTTAAGGAATGTAGCTTGTTTGTGTTCGTTCATTTAAATGATAAGCGAACACAAATGAACGAACATAAACGAATACAATAAATGAACGTTAAATAACACAAACGAACGGATGTAAACGAACACAATAAACGAACGTAAATGAACACAAACGAACAAACGTAAAAAAATACAATAATGAACATAAACGAACGTAAATGAAAATATTTTTTTCTTACCTAACAATTTTAGGATTATATTTATTTAATTGTTTTGAGCTTTTTTTTATTAGTAATTAAAATTAATTGAATTTTAAAATATTTATGTGTATCAGATTAAAACTTATTGAGCCTTAATATTTTAAATGGGTCTAGAGAGATTGGGCTAAACATAAATAAGCGCATATAAACGAACATAAACGAACGAACATAAATGAACGAACATATTACCGAACATTCACGAACGTAAATGAACGAACGAGCCCTCTGTTCATGTTCGTTCATTTAATTAAACGAATACAAAATCTTGTTCTTGTTCATTCATTTAATAAATAAACGAACTTCCCACCGAATTGTTCGTTGAACGTTCGGTTCGTTTACAGACCTAACTTCGTTGGTTGCCACGTCTATAGTCGTATTCGTCGGCCGGTGAAGCTCAAACTTTTCAACCCGCACTTTTTTGACCCACTGAACGTGATCCTGGCCTCTGTTTCACCAGAAAATACTCCTATCTCCCCAAACCAACGATGGACTCTTCGAATTCTTCATCTTCCGATCTCTGTTTTTAGTAGTTCTTTCTTTAAAAAAAAGTCGTAACTAGCGGGAAGAGGAAGCCATAATTGACAAACGGTTAAGCCGTTGGATGAATCCAAGGAAGAAAAAAAAGTCCCTACTTTCTTTATAGCCAATCATTTTTATCATGAAAATTAAACCTATATATTATTAACAACTGCTATAAATTCATCAATTATCCAATCCAGTTTCAGACAAACTCTTAAAGAGTTCTTCCATTTGTTCCTCAGAATCAAACTGATTATCTTAGTTTTGTCTGTCAGTTGTTTCCGAGGTTTTTTTTTCTTTCAAACTTGTGTGTTGTTTTTATTTCAAGTTTGTTATTTTCTGGGGGAGTTTCCCTTTTTGTTTAATAAATTCAATTTTTAAATTTTTTCTTATGGAATATTATTTCATTTATCCCAGGGAAATTAGCAGGAGAAAAAAAATTATTAATCAATAAAAAATGTTGGGCGATTTCCTGACCAGATTGCTAGTGTAAGTCTTGTAATAAATAGTGGAGAAAACGGATCTTAATTGTTATATTAGTATAGGGTTTCTATTACTTGTGTTACAATTTAGGGTTTCTCTTTATTCGTGTGTTAAAACTTCAGGTTGGTTTTTGGATATGCATATCCAGCGTTTGAGTGCTTCAAGAAGGTGGAGAAGAACAGGGTTGAGATTGATGAACTCAGATTCTGGTGCAAATATTGGTACCAGAGTTACAATCTTTTCTTTTTCTCAGCGAGATATTTATTAATAATACTTGAACAGGGCCGTGACTGGGGCGGCGGGAACTGCGCGACAGCGCATGGCCCCAAAAAAGTATATATATAGTGGCATTTTTCCAATAAACGCCACTATAGATGGATTTATTGCGACGTTTTTTTAAAAAAAAAGGTACTATTATTACAACTTTATTAATAAAACGCCGATGGATCTATCGCGGCGTTTTCTAAGAAAACGCCATTATTGTTGCCCCGAAATCGAATATATCTAAAAAATATGGGGCCCTTTATATAAATTTGTACAGACCCCCGAAAACCCTGTCACGGCCCTGTACTTGAACCTAAGTTGCGTGTCTCGTAAAAAAAGTACAATATTTTCATTTTTTTCGACTTATATTTTTGTTAAACTAAAAATTAAGGCCCTAATGCACTTGGTTGGAAGGAAATCTAATGGTGGTTATGGATTTTCCAGGATCCTTGTGGCTTTTATTACTGTTTTGGAGAGGATAACCGACATATTCATTTCATGGTATATATATATATATACATATTGTAACACCTTATATTCGAATTCGACTCTGAATTATGTGATATCCGAGATTTGGTCGTAATATTTAGCCCTGGTCTCAACTTTCATAGCTCTATTCTGATTGCTTAGGTTATTAATATTAGATTTGAACTATCCTGAAGGTTGCCCATGTATGGAGAGATGAAGCTTGGATTTTTTATCTACCTATGGTATCCTAAAACCAAGGTAATATATTAAATCGGTGTTCGTTTTTTATTAAATGAAATGTATTACATTTTAAGATAAATGTCGAGACTTGAACTTACATAAGACGAGATAATATAATCATCCATGACCACTTAATCGATTTATGATATTCACTTCAATGCAAATCTATATTTCTATCAATGCAGGGAACCGTTTTTGTGTACGACACCATCTTTCGGCCTTTCATGGCAGAACATGAAACCGAAGTGGATCGGAAGATCATGGAGCTGAGAGCTCGAGCATGGGACGTTTTCACACATTACTCGGCGAATTGCTCGGAAATGGGGTTGGCTAAATTCTTTGAAATGTTTCGGTACATAGTAGGTCAAACTACCAAGTTCAGTCCTGCAAAACCTAGCAATCCGGTAACCTTAAATCCTAAACCCCGAACCTACAAAATTCAGCTTGCTACAAGAGATTTTACGATAATTTCCGTTATTCAATTGATCAGAAATCTAGAGATCGGAGTCTTAACAACATCCCATCACCACCATCTCCGAACGGATTACGGAGTCCATCGGCCAGGGCTTTTAACTCGGTACTGAGCCGTGTTAACTTTGTAGACTCACCAAGGCACGGTCAACCGGACAGTCCGTCGGCACACCAGTTCGACAACGACGACGACTCAATTCCGTATTCCCCAAGTAACTCCAGGATCCAACATGCTCGTCTTAAGCTCCGACGCACCAAACCGGAAAATGAATAGTTTGTGATAAAGCAAACAAAATTCTTTTTTCTTGTAAATTTTGTGTCATAGGCATGAAGTGCAAAAGAAAAAAAAAATTGTTTCTGTAAAATATATGCGTTCTTGTACGTGTTATAAACATAATTATATAAACATATGCGTTCTTGTACGTGTTATAAACATAATTATGTTTGATCTCTTTAAAAGTGCTGAGAACCCTAAATAAATTGCAGCTTGAATACATCGATCATGTTCCGTTGTTCCATTTCACATCGTCATTACCAAAAGATCACCTCCTCAAATTTTCCACACCTAACATACCCCGATTTCATGGTACTTAATGCTTAATTCTTTTATGTAGGGTTTTTGGAGAAAATCCTAAGTTTCGTCTACTAACTTCAAACCCTCAACGTTCTCGAGAAAATCCGGGAGTTTTTGGAGATCTAGGGTTACGTTTCCGCTCATCAAGGCGACTCTTGATGTCGGAAGCAACGCGATTAGACCCGGAGGTGCGGTCGAGACTGATAAGTTACCGTCGGGTGTGAGGAAACAAGCAACGGAGGCCGTTGACGCGTTTGGGGGGAGGGTTACTGTTGGAGATGTTTCGAGTAAAGCTGGGCTTAACTTGAATCAAGCTCAAAAGGCTCTTCAAGCGTTGGCTTCCGATACTAATGGTTTAGTTGGCCTTAAAAATGTTAATACCAAGAGCTCTTGCTGCTATCATTTTTAGTTTTATTTTGAAGGTAACTATATGCTGTCTATAATCATGCTGGATGTCTTTCTTTTTCTCTTTGCTGAAGTAATATGGAGCCAGCTTGCGTTACTGACCTATTGTGAGCCTTTGCTGATCTCTGTATGGGAACTATCATATTGTTTCTCGGGACATGTTTTAGTATTATTATATCTATTTCTGGTATCTTTGAAGTTCTTGATTAGTGAGTACCATTGTTTTCAAGAAGCGTTTAACAGGTTTCAGATGAAGGTGCTGTCCTTTATGTCTTTCTCTTGCATGGCAGGCTGCACTTGAATATTTAGTTAGAGTTTCTTTTGGGGCAGCACTTATAGCTTCAATTGTTCTTGTTTATACAACAATCATTGCCCTAATATCAAGTAGAAGGTACCTACTAAGCTTGACCCTTTGGAATTATCATAACATAATTCTACTCCTGTGATTGTTGACAATGTGATCCGATGACAGCGATGAAGACAATCGGGGTAGACGAGGAGGCAGATCATATGACACAGGGCTCACTTTCTACTTAAGTCCAACAGACTTGTTTTGGTAATACTTTTAATTTAGATTATGAACTCTAGCAGTGCTTTACTGTAATAGGGTGTTAATTACAGTTTGGAATTGTCACTGATTGAGCCAAGTAGGGGCTGCTGATAGAGAAGATTAAGTAGACAAACTTTGGTTATAAAGTAAATTTGTGAGAGTAATAATTTTCAGAAGAATTATGAAATATAAAAGAGAAAATAAACATGCTAATTATACTTAATTTTTTTCTCTCATTGAGTTTTGAAGGGAAAATAATAACGTTAATAAAATTTTCTATTGATATGGAAAATCAGGAAAGAGATTTGATGGACTGATGTTAGAATTTGGAAAGACAAAAATTAAAGAGATTCAATTGGATTCGGTGAATTGATATTGAGAATTTTGAGAAAGACATATTGAAGTAGAGATTATGAGAAGTTGAATAGTTTAGTAACGTTAATATTCAATGATGACAATTGACACTTTAACAAACACATGGTCTATTATTTTATTTTTACTTTTTTTAAAAAATTTATTATAAAAAAATTATATTAAGAACTTTTTAAATTTGTGGACCCTGAGTGGGCGCCCCTCCTACCCTGGCCCAAGGACAACCTGATATTTACCCTAGATTAATCGGAAAAAAATCTTTTCTATTTAAAAATTGTGTTTTTTCCTGCAACTATTTTTTAAAGGGCAAACTAATTGAATGATCATCTAACTATTTAATTGGATGTGTTGATGTGTCAGTTAATATAATTAATATAATTACACATTTGATCCTTAATTACATTTAATCAATTTGGTCATGGTTTTAATTAATAAATTAACCCTTCAATTAGGAGGTGACACATGTCACCATATGATCATGACACATGTCACAGTTGAAACATGTAAGCATCTGATTGGAGGGTTAATTTATTAAATTAAATTAAAACTAGGATCAAATGAATTAAATGTAAAAATATTAAGGATCAAATGTATAATTATACAAATTATGTTGACTTACACATCAGCACCTCCTTTTAATATTAATGACATGTGGCTTGAATGATACCAATAAAATAGTTAAGTGATCATTATTAACTAATTTTTTGAAAATATTGGTCATTTCGACACCAACCTCATAGTTAGATGGTAATTCAAGTGGTTTACTCTTTTTTAAATACGACATTTAATAGAAAAATGGGCAATTTTATTATAATAATACCTTTATGAACTTTTCTTTAATATTTTTTCGAAAATTCCATTCCCTCCATTTTCTTAGGTATTATACTATTTTCTCCCTTTAAGACAATAATATCCCTAAATTAATATAGTTATTTCAAAAATAATCCTTACTTTTGTATATAATTAGAAGATTATAAATTTATTTTGTTTCTTTTTAATGATTTCAGATTTTTTTGATACTTATTATAAGAAAATATGATGTGTATAAAATAAAAAGTAAAACAAAAATATTAATTTTTATTTTATTTTGATTGTTTATTATGTATGTGTTTGATTCAGGTTTCATTTTTGCTATGTGTTTTATTACGTTTATTTTTAGGATTAATTTTTATAAAATATTTTCTATATTATATTTTTTATGTTTTCTATTAATTTTGTCAAATAATTCGATATGATATTTTATTGTACAACTCATACATGTAGCATGAATGAAATAAAATAGTGTAGCAATTAACGCATACTTACACCGATGTAAGTATGTACATCTCATAATATCTTGATACCTCAAAATACATACATACTTACATCAGTGTAAGTATGTACATCTCTCAACATCTTGATACCTAAAAATAAACACATAATTATATTTGTATAAGTATATTTCTGTATTTTCAAAGAAATAATAAATAATAAAAAATATATTAAATAATTTATGTACGAATTTTATTTAGAAATATATAAATTAAAAATAATAAAAAAGTTATATTTTTTTATTAACTTTCGTGTAAATATTTTGACTTTAATAGTGAGAATTAAACTTGTTAAAAAAGAAATATATCTCAATGACAATTTGGTAATATATATATATTATATTATATTACCTCAACCAAGCACTCTAATCTTAGATTTATGTCAAACAATCAAATAAAGTAATACAACATTCTCAGTGATATAATAAATAATGTAATAATCCGATAATCTTATTCCCAAAGTAATATAACATTCCGTGAATCAAACGCTCCTTTAGTGTTGATATTGAACCTAAGATGATGATAGTTATTTATAGGCTGGTTGGTCCACGTGATTCTTCATAACTCTTCTCCAGGCAATAAAAATGATAATAAAAACATTTAAATCATCACTAGTCATAATTTTCTATCTAAATTAAAATAGATAAATTACTTAAAGTCGTTATAGGATATTTTCTTCCATCAATAAATGAGTTATACTCAGGGTTAAGCAATAAAATCGAAAAAATTAAAAAATCGATATGAACCAAACTATACATTTCAGTTCGATTCGAGTTTTTCAATTTATAATTCAAGTTCGGTTCGATTTAAAAAAAATAAATATACAATTCGGTTTGATTTTAATTTTTCATATGGAATTCGTTTGAACTGAATCAAATCGAGTTGCAGAAATAAAAGAAAATAAGTATCTAAGACAAATTCTTTTTGAATTATTATAAGATAAATTTAAATAAATAAAACTTTAAACCCAATAATATTTTTTATAAATTTAAATTTATATATTTGAACTCAATTTAAGCTTTAAATTTGTCTTTTTGGAGGTTGAGTTTGAAAATTTGTAAACAATGAAACACCGCAAAACCAAATTGAACCGAAACTACAATTTTTATACTATTCGGTTTCAGTTTTAATTTTTTAAAACTCATAAAGTATGATTCAATTCATATTTTAATGAAAAAATCAAACCGAATCGAACCGAATACACCCCAAATTATACGGCTATAGATCTAATATTGCTGCCTCGCATATAGGGATGGCAAACGGGCGGGTCGGGTGCGGATACCCCCTTCCCCATCCCCATACCCACCTAATATTTTTCAATCCACCACCCGCCCACCACCCATGATGGGTACAAATTTTCAAATCCACACCCGCCCACGCGGGTACATTCTCAAATTCATCCCCACACCCACTACCCTCTAGCGACGTACCCGTCTAGACCCGCCTGACAGCAAACTTAAGTTATACATAAGCAACAAACATAAAAAAAACATGTCCATTAAGAAACATAATAAAATAATCTAAGGATTATCTAAGTTAAGTGTTAATATAGATCTTAAAATACATAAAACACCATAATAAAGGACATAATTAAAGTCTAGAAACATAAATGACAAACACATAATGTTTTTGTTATTTGGCACAACATTCTAAAATTTCAGGCAATATTTGTGACATATAATACTCTAGTATTACAATCATCATTCTCTATTTCCTCCAACTGAGAGCGCTCCAATTTAAATTCACTACTACCTACATATATAATAGAAAGTAAAACTAATATAAGTTAGTAACTAAACTTTAATAAGATAATTAAGCACAATTTGACAACTAATATAAATTAAATAATAATATTACTTTTAATATCGGCCCAAAGCCAATTTTGAGCATACATTAATGCTTCAATCGTCTCCGGAAGTAGTCGACTACGATAAGGACCAATTACTCTTCCACCTATACTGAATGCAGATTTTGATGGGATAGTGGAGACAGGAATGCCCAAAATATCTTTTGCCATTTGTTGGAGAGTTTGATAAATTACATGTTATATCTTATACAATATTAGAATTTATAAATTAGTCTATAAAATTACACCTAAATTCATAATGATCCAAAATTTAATGGATATTTAGCTGGGCCCGCGGATGTGGGGCAGGCGGATGCGGGGCGGGTAATGTCTCAAACCCATTACCCGCCACCACCCACGACGGGTACCACTTTCTAAATCCACACCGGCCCACTACCCGCTAAAATTATACCCATCCCCGCCCCAATTGGAGCGGATACGGTGCGGAATCCACGAAACTGTACCCGTTTGCCATCCCTACTCGCATACTGGGTGATGCGAAAAATTACGGGACATAAGTGAAGGCCTTACTTTAAATCTTTAAAACTAGAGGGAGGATCTATTTTCTTACATATAACAATGCTCCTTTTTTTTCTTTGGGGGTATAATTAGGGGTACTTATCGAGTGAGTTGATCGTTAGTTGCGTAGTGCTCGACTTGTACTCGTTAAAAAAATTTGTTGCTCGAAGTGATTCGTTACTTGTTAAAATTTTGCTCGACTCGTGCCCGTTAAGAAAACTTGTTGCTCGACTCATTGTTCATTAAGCTTGTTACTCGTTAAGTTCGATGCTCATTACTCGCCTAATTGTTCGTTAAGCTCACCGAAATTTTTACTTTATTTTCTTAACTATAAGTAAAATATACTAATACCATATATAACTTAATATAAACATAAATTAATAAATTTAACCAAAAAATTTATCAAAAGAGTGTATGAAGTAATTTTAAAGTCTACACTCCAAAATAACAATCTACAAATACATTAAAAAATTAAGGTTTTATTTTTTAGTGTATGAAATAATTTTTTAAGATAATTACTAAAAAATATATATAAAAAATTAATGAGCTACTCGCGAACTTAGCGAGTCTAGTTAGAATTTGTCCTACTCAACTTGATAAGGTCTTGAGTCGAGCTCGAGTTCGAGTCGAGTCAACCCAAGTCGAGTTTTTACCGAGCTTTGAATTTCGAGCTACTCACGAGTTGCTCAACTCATTAAACACCCCTGGATATAATCCTTGTATTTACTTAATTAATATAGATTGATATTATAAAAATTTATTATAAAATTAATTTTCTAACTTAATTTATTTTATTCAATTTATTTTATTCATACCTATCATCTTATTTAAAAATATATATATAATCTCAGACTCATTGAACCAATTAATATTTATTACAAACTTCTTTATACACAATACTCTATTATTTGATTAAATAATGATGGCATAATGCAAACAAATACTCCTAACGTTTGGCACTATATGCATTTGTGCCCAAATCGTTTTTTTTTTTGGAGTAGTTCTACCCACAACATTTGATTATGAGGCATAAGTCCCCCCGTTGGATGGAATCCGTTAGTCAATTGGTCAACGGGTACATTCGACGTGGCATGCACATGTGGTCATCGATGATGACGTGGCATTTCCATGTCATTATTTTTACTGACGTGGCATGTTCATATCATAGATGATGATGACATGGTAGATCCACGTGTGATGCCACGTCATCAATTTTTTTAAAAATTAATTAATAATTAATAATTATTTTTTATTAAATTAATATCAACCAATTAGATGTTGCCATGTGGAATATTAATTTTTTATTAAATTATGAAAAGAAGAATTACACCTCTACAAATTTTGCAATTCATAGGATTTGATCCTGGGTCTAAAGGATGAAAGCCTTAATACTTAACCATCAAACCAAGTCACTTAATTGTTATTGAATGGCTAATAACAACATTTAAAGTATATTGTTGCCATCAAACCCACCATTAACACATTCACTTTTTTTTTATAAAAAAATTATAGTTAGATTTAAATTGTTATAATTATTTGAGTAAATTTAAATTATCCATAGGTCTTTTTAAATTTAAAATTATAAATCGATCTGGGGTCTTAATTAATTTTAAATTTATAAACTTTAAAAAAATCATAGGTAAATCGATATGGGAATAAACCATAGGTCTTTTTTAAAGTTTATAAATTTAAAATTAATTATAATTTTAAATTTCAGTTTTTTAATTTTACTTTGATTCATCAACAACATATCTCCAATCTCCATTTCTGTCTTTAGCAGTGATAGTGCTTATGGAAGATGTGAAAACAACCCTTTTCACTGTGTGGATTTCAAGCAAGATTTGAGGAGGTTTTCAGTGCCTTTGATTGCAGGGTAAATGATGTTTGATCTAACATAGGATTCTTGGAAAAATCAAATGCTCTGTTCGATTGATGAACTGCCGAAACGTGAATGAAAATGCATTGAAGATAAAAAAAATGCAGAATTTACCAATATTATCCTTCGAATTGGCGTCGAATTCCATTGAAACTGCCACATGAAATACACCATCGAAGATAAAATTTTAATTAATTTTAAATTTATAAACTTTAAAAAACACCTATGGTTTATCCCCAGATCAATTTTCCTATGATTTTTTTAAAGTTTATAAATTTAAAATTAATTAAGACCCAGATCGATTTATAAATTTAAATTTTAAAAGACCTATGAATAATTTAAATTTACTCAAATAATTATAACAATTTAAATCTAACTATATTTTAAAAAAAGTGTTTGTGTTAATGGTGGTTTTGATGGCAACAATATACTTTAAATGTTGTTATTAGCCATTTAATAACAACCATGTGACTTGTCCTGATGGTTAGGTATTAAGACTTTAATTCTTTAGACCCAAGTTCAAATCCCATGGATTGCAAAATTTGTGGAAGTTTAATCTCTTTTTTCTTAATTTAATAAAAAATTCATGTGCCACATGGCAACATCTGATTGATTGATATTAATTTAATAAAAAATAATTATTTATTATTAATTAATTTTTAAAAAATTGATGATGTGGCATCACACGTGTACATGCCATGTCAGCAGTTAGTCTACGTGGATCTGCCACGTCATCATCATCTATGATATGGACATGCCACGCCAGTAAAAATAATGACATGAAAATGCTACATCATCATCGATGATCACATGTGCATGCCACGTCAGATGGACCCGTTGACCGTTAGTTGACTGACGGATTCCATCCAATAGGGGGACTTATGCCTCATAATCAAACGTTGTGGGTAGAACTGCTAAAAAAACGATTTGGGCACAAATGCATATAGTGCCAAATGTTAGGGGTATTTGTTCGCATTATGCCAATAATGATGTTACATTCTAAAAATAAAGAGTAAACAACGCATTTAGTACCTAAACTATTAATTTTGGTTTGTTTTAGTACCTAAACTTTCAATTTTTTCAAAACTATACCTAACGTTTAGTTTTTATTTTATTTTAGCACATATCATTAAAAATTTAATGTGTTTAATACCGAAACTATCAGTTTTGATCCGTTTTAGTACCTAAAATTTCAAAAAAAATTAAAACTTAACTTTAAATTTTGAAAGAGGTACTAAAATTAAACAAAAACTAAACTTTAGGTATAGTTTTGAAAAAAATTTAAAGTCTAGGTAATAGAATAAACTAAAACTGATAGTTTAAGTATTAATCCTATAATTTACCCTAAATAAAACACTACAAATTTGAACTCACATGAAATAAAATATTATGAAAATCCTTAATCATTCAACCTTAGTGCTTAAGGGAATCGTTGTTATTCCTAGAGGTCATGGGTTCGAGCACCAGTGGTTGCAACAAGGTGATTGAACATTCATTGTCAAATAGTTGGGAGTATTTCGAACAGATACTACTTTGTAATCACATTAACTTACTAAAAAATAATTAATATTCTCATATACAATAATCTATTTAATACCAAGTATTTACATTATTCTTATACTTCTATATGTTACTCTAATGCAATTCATGGAGACTTGTTTTGGTAAATTACACGTTTAGTATCTAAACTATTAGTTTTGATTTGTTTTAGTACATAAACTATTAATTTTTTCAAAATCATACCTAAATTTTAATTTTTGTTTCATTTTAATATCAGTTCAAAATTTAAGGTTAAATTTTGAAAAGATTGAAAGTATGAGTACTAAAACGGGCTCAAACTAAAAATTTAGGTACTAAATACGTTAAGTTTTTAACAGCGGGATATTAAAATGAAATGAAAACTAAATGTTATATATATTTTTTTTAAAAATAAAATTTTATATACTAAACGGATCGAAACTAATTATTTAAGTACTAAACTAAATACATAGTTTACTCTTGTTTTTCCCTTCTTCTAATTCATTTCTGTACCCAAAAAGAAAAGAAAAAAGGTTATCATGGCAGCCGGCTCAACTGGAAGTAAAGGGTTAATTTAATGAGAGGCTTTTAGGTAATTCAAAAATTGACTAACAAGAACCTGCCCAGGTCAAAACCCTAAAGGGGATCAAAAGAAGGAGAAGAGATTGAACCTGAACCGGCTTTTCTTTCCTACCTTCACTTCCTCTCTCCGGTGTCCCAGGTCGCCGCCACAGCGAATCCATACATGGAAGAGACCGAAGGTAGCTTATCGAAGCCAGTAGCAGTGATTGCTTGCATCGCCATGACATTGTTCTATGTTGCTATTCTCTATGCTCCTACTCTGATCCTCCGCCTCCCGCCTCCGCAATCCTACGAGAATTTCATGATCCGACGCTTCATTTGCGCCGCCGTTTGCTCTGTCGCGTCCGTTATTTTCTGCGCTCTCGTTCTTCCAGTACACCTCTACGGTTCCTTCGTCTCCCGTTTTCATTTCACTCGTCTTTTATGCATTGCTGTAGATTGAAAATTTTGTCATCCTATGAAGTAGGAGCTAAATAGGAACTTTATTCATAATCAGAGATGAGAAAATGTTATATTTGTTGCAGGCATTGAAACTAATCTGTTTCATGTAAAAAGTAAAATCTTCCCTCGTGCGTTTTAGAAAAAGTGTTTTATTTGTTAATCTATCATGAATTTTTAACATGTTCGGTTATGCTAGATAAGAAATGGGGAGCCAACTTACTCGACTGCGGTTTATGGCATTCGATCGGATCATTTTGTAAGAATCACACATCTGGAGTATATTTCCTACATTCTTATCGATTTACTGTTTATGTTTTATGATCTGCTGATTTGAAATCAGTGATTGAAATGCAATTTTATGTAACAGTGGCAAGCAGTGGTATTTCCTCTGTTCTTGACTTCTCTTATGTATGCTGGATCCCTGATGCTCAAGTCTATGTTATTGCTGAATAAGTGGAAGGAGCGTAGGCATCAGTATGGAGAGCCACTGCTCGGTTGTATCAAAAGTACCCTTCTAGGCTTCCCGGGCCAGATGTCTTCAGTATCTTCAAATATTTTATTCTGGAGGAATTTCGTTGTGGTCAGTATGTTCACCATTTCAATTTTCTTCATCTTTGGGTTGGATGCCAAAATGCAACTAATTGCAAGGTCCACGATCAGGAAGTGTTTGGAATTATTTTTTTTTGTTTTAAAAAAGGTTGTATTTGCTTGCATGTTCTGTGAAATAGTTTTTCTGATCAATTGATTAATATGTTGTTTTAGCATTTGTTTGTTGAACGATCATGCTTAGGAGAATAATAATTATTGAAAATTAGAGGAAAGTGTCTGGAATTATTTTTTTTTATGAAAAAGGTTGCATATGCTTGCTTGTTCTGTGAAATAGTTTTTTCTGATCAATTGATTAATATGTTGTTTTTCCATTTGTTTGTTGAACGATCATGCTTAGGAGAATAATAATTATTTAAAATTAAAGGAAACATTTTGAAATTGTTTCCTGTTGGTTCAGCCTTCAGTCTTTAATAGTAGTTTAATGAACAGGCACCAGTAACAGAAGAGTTGGTGTTTAGAGCATGTATGATTCCTTTACTTCTTTGTGGGGGATTTAAAGCCTACGAAGTCGTTTTTCTCTGTCCTACTTTCTTCAGTTTAGGTGAGTTGTTTTATTTTTGAGTTATTAAATACAGTTTGATCATTAATGTTGGCAGGATTTATTATCTTCTTTTCTTCTGGTGTTAAGTACTTATAATATGCCTTATAGTACAATTTATTTCGATTTATGTTTTATAGCATTTATTTACATTTAGTTTACACACATTGTCATTGCCTATATACTGTTGTTGTGCCTGTTCCAAAATCCGTTTTTAATTTTTTATCAGTCTAAAGAAGTTCAAAGGGATAAGGTTGGCAAAAATTGATTTTTGGTTAAATTGTGTTGTTTAAAGGGATAAGGTTACCTATGTACTGTTTCATGTCCTTGTTATCACTTAATACTTGCTGGTGTTAGTGCGTTTGCATGTGTTTGTGCTTTTTTGGGATTCATTAAAGCATAAGGCTTGAGATATGTGCTCCATTGCATTGCAATTCCTATTGAATATAAACTGTTTTAACTCTGCTTTGTCGGTGTCTTGCAGCACATTTGAACCATGTAATGGAGATCTACAGTCTGCATCATTATAGCTTGCTTAAAGCCTCCATGGTTGTAGGTACAAACTAGATTTTCCTCGGAAGTCATAGCTGCATTTTTTGTTTAATAGGGAAAAAATATATAGATGTTCGAGTTGGTTTCTTGCTGTTCCTTTTTTGGGTGGAAACTTCGGTTGGCTTTAAGCTTTTGACACCTTTGTTTTAGGAATTAGAATGTTTTCTGTCTTTGGGATGTGCTGATACGCCATTGCTTGTATGTGTTTCTCAGGTCTCCAGCTTGGCTACACTGTTGTCTTTGGTTCATATGCTTCATTTCTCTTCATTCGAACAGGTCAGCGGTTGTTTGCTGATAAAATGTTATTAATTTTTTTCCCTCTAATGTACTTTTGGTTCGTGCTCCATAGCTGTTTTGTACATGGGCTGGCAAGATGTTTATTTTTCATTTCAATACTCATTTAGCTTTTCGTAAATAGAACGGATAAAGGTAAAATTCGGTTGTTATTGTTCCTTTTTTGTGATGTATTTTTTTCCGCTTACGCAAATATAAAACACTATACGGGTTCACTAGTACCGGTTAGCTTATTGTCTCATTACAATTAATCCTCCGGCCTTACTGATTCAGCTTATATTAACCCTTGGCAGGAAACATTGTTGCTCCTTTAGTTGCTCATGCATTTTGCAATTATATGGGATTGCCAGTGCTCTTTGTTCAGAGGAAAGGTCCGTGACCGGAGTTTCTATTAGTTGAACCCCCTTATGTCTTTGCATTGTCATAGCATACTATTATGCATGCCCGGACAATTCGCTTACGTTTTGTGTCCATTATATTTTTAGGGCTAGTTAGCGCTGCATTCGTGACCGGAATGATATCATTTGTGGGGCTTTTGTGCCCTTTAACACGGCCCGACCTATACAATGAGAATACAGATAATTGCAGATGTTGGCAAGGATATTGCTCATGGAATTAAAACACCTTTCCCCTCAAAGGATGGGAAAAATCATGATCAGGATGACGGACCGTAAGCGATGGGAATCGGGTGTGCGTCTACGATCGACATGAAGTATTGACTAGATGGAACGGTAATGGTATAAGCAAATGATGAAATGAGTGTAATTAGGCATTAGAAGCATATGTACTATGGAGCCATTTCATTATCAAATCTTATTGTACTCTTTAGGCCTGGATTTTTGACCTGGCGCATTCAATTGTTGTACATTATCAGCTAGGGTCAATTATACGTTTAGTACTTAAACTATCAATTTTGGTATCTAAACTTTTAATTTTTTTTAAAAATCATACTTAAAGTTTAGTTTTTTTTTTTTTTTGTACTCCCGTTCAAAATTTAACGTTAAGTTTTGATTTTTTTTTAAAGTTTAGGTATTAAAACATACCAAAATTGATGATTAAGGTACTAAAAGCGTTTAATAATAAAGTACTAAAATGAAATAAAACTAAACATTAGGTTTCTGAAAAACTGAAAAGTTTAGGTACTAAATGCTAAGTTTACCTTTGGATATTAACAGAAGAAAAAGTAATTTTTCGAATCCTAACCGGTTTGAGATAACAACATTTTGATGTTTTTGTCTGAACTGAAATGTAATGAACTGATCTCATTATCCCTCTGATTGTTCAAAAGGCAAATTCATTGGCTGATGAAATGTAATGATCTCATCATCTCTCTGTTTTTGTTTGAACTGCTGATGTTTTTTTAAAGTCGATGATAATGTGATATTATGTGATGATATATCAGTATTATTGTTAATTTTTTAATGATGGGTCATAAAATAAAATCAAAACATAATATTAAGTATAATTTTAAAACAAAAAATAATTAAGTGACCAAAATAGAACAAGAATAATAGTAGAGGTACTCAACATGTTGTCTTGTTTTTAAGGTAAACTATGCATTTAGTATCAAAACTATCAGTTTTGGTATGTTTTACTATCTAAACTTTTAATTATTTTCAAAATCATACCTGACAGGTTAATATTTGCATCTTCAACTTACAGGTTATGTATATATTGTTATAGACTACACAAATTTTAAGGGTAAAGTACACAAATAGTCCATGAATTATAGAATATTATTTTATTGAATCCCTTAATTATTAAAAGTTATAAAATGGTCTCTCGATTATAGGGAGTTGTTTTATTGAGTCTCTCGACTATTAAAAGCTACAAAATGGTTACTGACTATTCATTATGTTTCAAACTCGTCCTTATTTGTTAAAAAATTAACAATCGTCTGAGCTGAACCCAACGAGTTCCAACTCGACCCGACCTGATTGAGTCGGATTTTTTTTTAAATTTCAGGTTTGAATTTGGTTGGGTCGGGTTTTTGAGCTTATGTTTGGGCGGGACGGGTTCGAGTTTAGGGTGAAAAATACCCAACCCAACCCAACCCAACCCAAAAAATTATAATTTGACCTTATATATTTAGGGATAATTGCAATAATACCCCTCTATATATTATTTCCTTTCAATTGAATCCCTATTTTTATTGAATAAAATAATATTTTTAATAAATATATTATTTCGGGTCGAGTTGGGTTTGTATTTTATATAAAAAAAATCGCGTCGAGTTTGGGTTGGGTGGAATATTTTTCGGGTCGGTTCAGGTTGGATGAAAGGTATATAATTTTTGGGTTGGGTCAGGTGGACCTAAAATCCGACTCGACCCGACCTATGCCCATCCCTAGATTTTGTCATATCTCAGTCAACATGTTAATGTACAGTTCAGACTACTGTCAAAGTTTTAACAGAAAAGGATGAGTTTGGAATATAAAAAATAGTTGGGTGACCATTTTATAACTTTTAATAGTCGAGGAACTCAATAATGAAACTCCCTATAGTTGGAGGATTGTTTTATAACTTTTAATAGTCAAATGACTCAATAAAGCATTATCCTAAAGTCGGGGACCATTTGTGTACTTTACCCAAGTTTTAAATAGATACTGCGCAAAATTATTAAAAGTAATTATTTTTACAAACCACAATAGACAGAATGATTTTGATCTTGAGAATGTACAACACAAAAAGCAAAGCTTATAACCTCAAAGTTTGCGTTAAACACCAAGTTTTTCTTCTTCTTCTTCTTCTGCAATTGAATGAAGGTTTAATCATCGTCTTCTTGCAGCAGTTTCTCTCCGTGCATTGAAATAAACAGCGGCAACAGGGAGGCCGAGATCGTTCTCGGCAGCAAAATCTCGGGTGCTAAAATTATCTCTCGAAGAAGGCGACCCGATTAGCTGGCGACGGTTCTGCTTGAAAAGAACGAAAACAAACCTGTGGATCCCTATATCTGGCCTCGGAATCTCGTACCCCACAACTTCCCTTCCTGTTCGATGAAATTCCCCAATGAAACAAAAAAAGAAATAACTGTTTTTTTGTCTTGTCTCATTCTTCAAACAGTCCAAGAGGTACTTAATTACAAGATCAAACCTACCGAATGTGGCGTCTGTTGTGCCTGGAATGTCTGTCACAATCCTGTTAAATGGTCCATATCAAATGAAATCCGTCAGCTTTTTCTTCTATTTTGCCAGGTTTTGAGTGCTCTTATCTTCTATTTTATCTATTTGTTGCTAATAACTAACACTTCCTTGTCTTATCAACACTTGCAGGCTTGATTATTACAGAGTTGAAGATTAATTTTGTGTCAACTCTTAAATAGTAGTAGTTGATTAGAGTGTTAAAGATATGACAGGACAATAAGATTATGGTGGTTGTTTTAATTATTAGGGTAATTTACGTATTTAGTACTTAAATTATTAGTTTTTGTTTGTTTTAATATTTAAATTTTTAAATTTTATAAAATCATATTTAATGTTTAATTTTTATTTCATTTTAGTACCTGACGTTAACAATTTAATGTGGTTAGTACCTAAACTATCAATTTTGATCCGCTTTAGTACCTAGACTTTCAGTTTTTTCAAAACTTAACATTAAATTTGAACAATGGTACTAAAATGAAACAAAAACTAAATTTTATGTATGGTTTTAAAAAATTGAAAGTTTTGATACTAAAATGGACCAAAACTAATAATTTAGGTACCAAATGTGTAATTTACCCTAATTATTATATAATATATCAAAGCTTTGCTTTCCGGTACTAGTTTGCGTCCACACACGCCTGAGGAGGTGATCGTGGAAGAGAGTTGAAAAAAAATAATGGATTTAGAGACACTTTGGTAACCTCTCCCACTTTACATTAAGGTATACTATATCTCAACAGTACTGAACTCTTTTATGGACTTGCATGCAAGAATGGATAGAGGGGTACTAGAGTTATATCCAATCTTCTGAAAATTTCAAATTTTTATATAGTTTAGGTACTTTTTTTTGTACTTTCAATTAATGATCTAATTTGGAATAAGTTTACACACCTAAATATTTTTAATATATTTTCCTAAATTTACACTCCTAACATAAAATCATGCGTATATATGTTTACATGTGTACCGGATGTTACTTTTACTTCTAATTGTTCTTCAAGGATCAGAAAGATTTGAAAGGATAGGACATGATTGTTATAGACTTCTCAAATATATGAAAATCTTGAAATGAATTGAAGTTACTCATGTCTGACATGTATAAAATAATTTTAACTTATATATATATATATATTGTTAAGAGATGTAAAATATCTATACCAGTGAAGGTGCTCCCTTAAGTAAGGGTCACTAGGTCCAGGGACATCTGGGTCGGTCATGACCTGCAACAAAACAGACAGAGAAACCAAGGTTTACATACCAAAAATGGAAACAGAAAGGGAACAAAGAGCTTATGAAGAAGAAGAAACTGACCAGAGTGAAGAAAGTTCTCAAATCACCACCATGAATCTGAACCCTAGGTTTGGTGGCAACAGTTGAAGGGTAAAACTCTTGTCCATTAAAGACTTGCATGTTGTTGAAAGCGACTGACATTTTAATGCTAGGAATGAAGTAATCAAGAACATCTCCAATAACTCTCCCAACAATGAGAGGCTCTCCCGTTCTTGATGACATTGAAAGAGAGGGAAGAAGAAAGGTCAGTGACACTGAAAAGGAGGGATTCTTCTATATGATAATGTTGAAGGATGTGATGTAAGTAAGAAAACAAACCCTTTTTATAGTGCTCGAAACTCGAGAAACCTATTAAACGACTTCAGTGATAAAAGTGAGTATTACTCTATAAGGTTCGAGTAGTTACGTATGAAGAAAAAAAGACTGAATTCTAGAAAATTGTATATAAGTTCTCTAGATACCTGTCATGTCCAGATAGGCGTTCTGAAGAGTATAAAGCTTTATAATATATGGGAAATAAAGGAAGAAATAGTTGGAAACACCTTTGTTTATTTGCTATTGAATATCATATTGTTTTAGTTATATGATTATTTCTCAGTTGGGGGACCCTGGAATTGGTTCTTCATTGGCTGTTTTCCCTTCTTCTATGTTATATATAACTCTTAACGTGATTTTCATGGGTAAATTATACATTTAGTACCTAAACTATCGGTTTTGGTCCGTTTTAGTACCTAAACTTTCAATTTTTTCAAAACCATATCTAAAGTTTAGTTTTTGTTACGTTTGTGTAACCTGTTCAAAATTTAATTTTATGTTTTGAAAATAACTGATAGTTTAGGTACTAAGACGGACAAAAACGAATAGTTTAGGTACTAAATGCGCTAAGTTTTTAACAAAGAGGTATTAAAATGAAATAAAAACTAAATATTAGGTATGATTTTGAAAAATAATGAAAGTTTAGGTACTAAAACGAACTAAAACTGATAATTTAAGTACTAAATGCATAGTTTGCCCGATTTTCATTTAACACGATTGGATTATAAATAATCTCTGCAAGCTTTCTTTAGTGTGCAAATTGTAATCTTTTAAAAAAAATGTACAAAATCTGGAATATTTGGAAGCCCCTAAGGAATTGTTTATTGTTCTTTCTTTTTTGATTAATTTTATTAGAACATTTCCAAAACTAGAGATGCACATTTTGATAGAAAATTTTACCATTTTTAGAGATATTCTTTTGGGAGAGAAGCATAAAGGGGACTCCACCATAAGAGAGTGCAACATAAGTCCTAAAGCTCACAGGTCATTTCAAAGTTATAAACAAGGGCAAACTATGCCTTTAGTGCTTAAAATATCAATCTTGGTCTGTTTTAGTACCTAAATTATCAATTTTGGTCCGTTTAAGTATATAAACTTTCAATTTTTCAAAATCATACCTAAAGTTTAGTTTTTGTTTCATTTTAGTACCCCGCCATAGAAACCTTTAGTTTTTTTCATTTTAGTACATCCGTTCAAAATTTAACGTTAAATTTTGAAGAAAAAATGAGAATTTAGGTACTCGAACGGGCCAAAACAGATAGTTTAGGTACTAAACGCGTTAAGTTTTTAGTAGCCGGATACTAAAATGAAATGATAACTAAACAATAGGTATGGTTTTGAGAAAATTGAAAGTTTAGATACTAAAACGGGTCAAAACTAATAGTTTAGATACTAAATGCATAATTTACCCTATAAGTTTATAATTTGGCTAAGTCAAAAATGGTGAATTTCCCTTAAGTGGGAGCAAAAAAAATCTATTTTTTTTTCATTTTCTTGGGACACCTGTTCGGTTCAAATTGTATATCACACACTATGTTTCATCTTTAGTGGCAAAGTTTGATTGTTTTTACTTTTCCTCTCAAATTTTGAATTTATTAATAAATTGATCACTATCATCAGTGATCAAGAAATGCTCGAAGGCAATATTTTTAGGTAAACGACACAAATGATCACTAATGTTTAAGTAAGTTTTCGGTTTCCCTACAAAAGTTTCAAAAGTAAAAAATTAGTCACTAACGTTATCGATTTGCAACAAATTGGTAACTTGTTGTTAATAATCGTTATTGTAGTAACAAAATGCTGATGTGGTGCATTAAACCAGCTGACTCAACACGATTGACTAATCATTTGACTCCTTTTCTTCTTCGTAACGAAATGCTGATGTATCACGTTAAACCAGCTAACTCCACAGGTACCAATTGAGAAGATTAGATGGTATAGACAAAGCAGTGCAATAAAAAAATTTATATAAAGAAATCAATTTTTACAATCAAGGATGAAAACTTTTGGGTTTCTTCTTCTGCCCCATAGTCACTGTTTGATTTACTTACCAAAAATACTACTCTCAAGACAGGAAAAAGAAAAATAGAGAACCTCACTTTTACTTTGACAAGACTTAAAACAAAGACCTCTCATGTATTTTCATAGAAAGACATACCATTCACCAGAATCCATAGAATCAAACCAGAAAACCAATGAGAAAACATGTCAAAGCCATTTCACCCCTTCCCTACTTTCCCCAAATGATATTTGAACCGTAGATCAAACGTGTTAAGTCGGTTAGTTTAACGCACCAAGTCATATTTTGTTACTGCAGTAATGGTTATTAATGACGAGTGACCGATTTATTATAAATCAATAACGTTAACAACCAATTTATTACTTTTGAAACTTCAATGGAGTAAACAAAAATTTTACTCAAATATTAGTAACCATTTGCGTAGTTTACCCCAATATTTTTTATAAGCATTTGTATCCTAAAATATAGTTTTTGATATTTTTTATAATTTTTTTATCAGAATTGCCCGTCTAGCTTAGTTGATAGAACATAAAGCTCTTAACTTTGTGGCAGTGAGATCGAGTCTCACTAAGGGCAATTCATAACGGATGTCTTTTACGGAAGCTACTCTTAACATGACGTTGGGGGCAGCTTACTACCCTACTTCCCCCTTATCCCATTACATAGCTGAATAGGGTCAGCTAATAATATATTTTTGAAATTGTAATGAATTATTATTTATTTAATTTAATAAAATGATTATAATAAAAATTGTATATTACACGTTTCTTATTTTTTTTTTAAATTAGAGGCTTATTTTTTTACATTTTTACCCCAAATAAAAAAATAGCCAAAACCGACCCTACTTATAATACATCTTTTTATGACTATAATTTTAGTCCTATAAATAGCAACTTTGTAAGGCTCATATTATACAAATAATTGAAAATACTTCTATTTTATATTGTTATCTCTCTCTTTTGTTTGTTCTTTTGTTCTTGTTATAAATTCTCTTATTTTTAAAATATGTTATCAACACAATCTCAACCAATTATAATGATTCTTGACAATAATTTTGATTTGATATATGTGACGTTTAGTACCTAAACTATCAACTTCTGTCTGTTTTAGTAACTGAACTTTTAATTTTTTTTAAAACCATACCTAAAGTTTAGTTTTTGTTTCATTTTAGTTCCCATGTTCAAAATTTAACGTTAACATTTGAACAAAAAAAATGAAAGTTTAGGCAAAACTGATAGTTTAGGTACTAATCGCATTAAGTTTTTAATGACGGATACTAAAATGAAATAAAAATTATATATTAAGTATGATTTTGAAGAAAAAAATTCGAAGTTTAACTATTGAAACAGACCAAAACTAATAATTTACGTACTAAATGCATAATTTACCCTTAAAAATATGGTATACTTTTATATCGGCGTTATCATGATATTCGATGATTATTACTCCATTTCTCCCACAATCTCAGCAGGCGGCGAGTCAAAAACCAACAGCTCCTCCTCAATGCTACAACCCATATTTGATAGTGTATCGGCACAAAAGTTTCTTTTTAAGGAAAGTATGTTTGAATATCCAATTGCGTTATCAGGGATTAAGGGTGAACAAAAGTCGACTCGAAAAGTCGATTTTATTATTCAATTTTGAGTTATTTAAGTCGAGTTATTGGAGTAAACTCAAATTATAAATTCGGTTTTTTAGTTCGAGTCGAGTTGAAATTTTGAATTTTCGAGTTATTCAAAAAATCAAAAATTTGACCAAAAATTTTGATAGTTTTACGATTTAGTCATTGGTTTCATTATTTCTTCAATTTCTCCTTCATTTTAAGTCTATTTTTTTTACTAAATTTGAACCATATGCTCCTAAACCGAAAATTTTGAATTTTTAAGTTACTCGAAAAACCAAAAATTTGACTAAGTATTTTGATAGTTTTACGATTTAGTCCTTTATTTTATTGTTTCTTCAATTTCTCATTCATTTTAAGTCCATTTTTTAACCAAATTTGAACCAAAATATAACTTCTAAAAATGTATATTTTAGTCCTTAAACTTTTACAACTTCACACTTTAGTCCCAAACTTTAAAATTTTTACATTCCAGTCACTAGTCCAAAATTCAAGATATTACAGCTAACCTTGATGAAAGAGTTTCAAGAGATATTGTCGAGGAGGCTAAGAAAGTTTCACAAGAATGGAAGGGTCTACTTGTAGCCATTGTAACACTAGCAAGAGCTTTAAAAGGTACTAAGAATCGTAATGGAAGGGTCTACAAGTTGGTATAATTGTTTCTTGATTTTATGCTTGAATTGTGGAAATGGGTGATTTAGGAGGATGAAGGGGAAGTTGATTTTGATTGAGTTAAGGTTGAAATTCGATCTTACGAGTGTAGTGGAATTATAATTAAGCATAAAAGTTGAATAAAAATTGTTGGAGGGATTAGTTTAGTGATTTGGCCATTGAAGGACTTAGTGAGTAATTGTGTGAATTTGATTTGTATTGATTTGAATTTGATTAGAATGGATTAGAAATGGTGTATTAAGGATTAAATTGCGATTGAACCAAAATGGGAGCCATTAGCGGATATATTATTGCAAAGTTTCGGCCAAGGGAGAACTTAATCCAAGTAAATGGGATACACAGAGAGTGAGTTAGATTATAAGTTGATACTGTGAGATTTTATGGTGCTTGTAAGAAAGACGTAATTCGGTAAATTGGATCGATTAGGAAGAGTTCATAAATCTAGGGGCTCGATTATAAGTTTGGAGAAAGCTTAGTGGTGAAAGGATGGAAGTACAAAATTAAAGGAAAGAAATTAGTTTCGGATATGTATTGATTGTATTTTTTTAGAAATTGTTTGTGTATATGATTATAATATTAGTTAAAGTACTAACCTACGTTGAAAATTGATTACAATGGAGAATTGATCGTCGTGAAGATCGCGATCGAAATTCGGGACCGAGCGAGTTGAAAGATAAAAAATAAGTTCGAGAGTAGAACGAAAATAGCATTAAAATTAGTGAGGCAACTAACTTTTTATAAAAAAAATAATACGATGGCGACTTGCGACGAGTCAAACTCGATAGATCTGAAAGAAAATGTTTTTAAATTATATTTAAAAGAAGTACAATTTACTATTCTTTAATTTCATAGAATTTAAATATTTTTGGATATAAACGGTCCAAAATCTGATTTTTATGAGAATGATTTTATATTCGATTATATGAATTATTTTTTTATGCAAATTAGTATTTGATTTTAAATAAAGCCCATTGTATGAGAATGAATGAGAGTTAGTGGAGTTAATCTATATCTGTTTCAGATCTGGCACCAAGATGGATCACTCGTGCTCTGACTCGGTGTACCCCAGTGGTGCACGAGGTGGAGTGATCCAGTGCGATCTATCTGGCTCTATATGTGTATTATATGGCACCAAGATGGGTCACTCGTGCTCTGACTCAGCATATCTTAGTGATGCATGAGGTGGAGTGACTCAGTGCAATCTGTTATGGTAATTTCAACTGAGTATATCGTGCTCACTTGTTATCTGACTCACTTACCATATATTCTCATGAAAATACAGTGGGTAATTATATGATCTGAAATAGAAAAGTATAAAACTAGATCGACTATGTTAAGTGATTTATAGAATTTTTAATATTGTTTTAATACAAATATTTGATTAGATATAAACTATATATATACATATATTTGTTTTCTTTATATGTTAAATATTTTATTTATGTTAATACGTTGCCTCACTAAGTGAAAAACTTAGCGTGTTGTTGGTTCACATATAGGTAAGGAGAAGTCTGCCGAGTGAGGAGTCAAACAGGACATCCTATACATTTTGGAGGACTACTTCAAACGGCCAGAAGCAGTATGACATCTTTTCGATGTTTTTTATATTCCTTAGTTAGTATGTACATATTTATATTTTGGAGCTCTGTGTGATGAACAAATAGTATTTTAAATATTTTATATTATAATTTTTAAATACAATTACTTATTTTAAAGTCGTTTTTAAATAAAGAATTATTGACTTTCGGATAGTATATGTTTCATGTGTCTGATGTGACATATTTGACTGGTATACGAGGACGTATATGGGTTGAGGGTGTTATATTAGGTTTCATTTTGAAAAAAGCCCGTGCTTCATCATCATCCAAGACATCAACTGGAACAACAACTTGACACTCCATAGATTCACATACTGTCTCGCGACGAGTCGTTAAAATGATCTTAAAACCCTTTTCATTTTCAACAAATGGGATGCCCATCTTCCTCAAGTGATCTTCATCATCCCACGCTTCCCACAGATCATCGAGGATTACGAACTTTCCATCTTCCAAGCTACTCGCTAACTTATTCGCTCTATCGGGTTCGGTCGTTTTTTCAAAGTTAAAGGTTATGCCACCTGCAATTCTCTTTTGCATTTCGCCTATGACTGAATTTTGGGGTACAGCAACCATCATATTCCCAGCGGCATTAGCAGGAGTAGAAAGAGAGAAAGCCTCAGCCGTCTTCGTTAATTTGAATTCAGATAACAGTCTGCTAAGTCTATGAAAAATGGCAGAGAATACACTCGACAAACTTAAATCAGTCGAGTGTATTCAGGTTAGCCGATTTGATAAGATAAGGGTGGATGTATTGGGGTTGGTCGCCATTTTTTAGAGTTAAGTTATAGAAGAAAGAGTTGGTGGGGAGAGGGGACGAGAGGATCTTCAGGGAGAAGAAACGTGAAGGTTGGATTTTTTGGGGAATTTGAGGAGGAGCCATGGGCGGATGAGAATGAGAGGCTGGTGGTGTTGGGGGTTTATGAGGTTTCTTAGGCTTTTTAGAGAAGGATAAAAGAGTGAAGAAGAAGAAGGCAACGTGGGTTTTTTAATATATAATTTTTTTAATTTTTTTATTGACAAGTCAAACTTTTGTTAATGGACTAATGGAAGTTAACGACAGAAGGACTTAAATCGAACAGATCGATAATATAAGAAATTAAGCGCACTAAATTAAAAATTCGGTGACCAAAATCGATCAGATCGAAAACACAAAAAAGACTGATAAACTATTGGCATAATTTATCATTAATTTTAAGGTATATCAAAGGTAGTAAATTATAATGTAAATTACACGTTTAATATTTAAATTATCGGTTTTAGTCCATTTTAGTACTTAAATTTTATATTTTTTAAAATTATACGTAAAATTTAGTTTTTGTTTCATTTTAGTACTCTACCGTTAAAAGCTTTAATTTTTGTTTTATTTTAGTACCACTACTCAAAATTCAATGTTAAGTTTTGAAAAAATTGAAAATTTAGATACTAAAACGGATTAAAGATGATAGTTTAGGTACTAAACGTGTTAATTTTTTAACGACGGATACTAAAATAAAATGAAAACTAAACATTAGGTATGACTTTGAAAAAAAGTTAAAGTTTATATACTAAAATAGATCAAAACTAATAGTTTAAATATTAAATATGTAATTTACCCTATATTATATTTATCAAATTTGACATATCTTTTTAACGAAAGAGATTTTAAATTTAAATTCAAGATATAAAACTTAATGAACTGAAAATTTAAGATCTTTAACGTCTTAATAATTGAAATATTATATAATTAATTAAAATATTGTTTTTCAAAATAAATATAAAAAATTGAAACTCGACACGGCGACACCCCAAGCCATCAGCATTAACTTTGTCAACCTTCGCCTTCCCTCCTTCGCTCACCATGGACCAACAGCCACCTCCTTCCACCGCCCCTGCCTCCACTTCTTCTACTGACCCCTCTCAACAACCACCGCAACCACCAATGCCGCCGCAGCCGGAGCAACCGAAAACGCCACAATTTCAACAACAGCCAAGCCAACCCCCTCCCTCCACAACACCCTCAACGCTTCCCAGCCCTAACCTAAACCCGAAACCCCAACAGCCACCTCAGCCGAAACCAGCTCTCCCCACTCCTCAGCCCCGACCCGCTGCCGCATTCTCACGTACCTGGCAACAGCAGCTTTCCCAGCTCACGAATTCCTCCTCCTCTTCTTCTCCCTCAGTCACACCGACCTCTACGCCAACTCTTTCCTCTCAGCCGAGAGGCAACATTCCTTCACCTTCGCAACCCACTCCATTTTCGGGTTCCTTTGGCCACTCCTTCACCGGAGCTTCCAGTTCCAATGTTTCCCACCTTGTAAGCTTTTGTTTTCTTTCTAATTACAAATTTTAAGTTTTTGACGTTTACCTTCTGTTCTTGGTTCGATTCTCTTAACAGTCAAGGCCGCCGATGCAAGGAATAGGAATTGGATCACATTCTCAAATGAGGCCACCTGGAATTTCTGCTCAACATCAACAGAGACCTCTACAATCATCTCTTAGACCACCTTCTTCATCAGATATCCAATCCCCTACTGCCAAAGTTAGTAACCCTGTCAAAAGATTACATAATAGGGATCTAAATTGTGGTCGCCTTTGCGTTTTCGGTTGCATTGCCTTTATCACAATTGAGGCAATAGCGGCGCTATTGCGGCCATTGCGGGTATCAGGGTTGTGAAATAGCTGTAATATAACAGCCGCAATTCCGATAGCGGACTGCTATTTAAATCCAACATATGTTCTTTAATCACTTGTTGGTTTTGTAAAATCTTGTTTCTTTTTAAATTGCAATAAAATGGCATCCGTTGTGGTCGATAACAGCTTCAGCATATTCCAAGACTTAAAAATGTTAACAAACGCCTAAAACATCTCAGCTGAATTTACGGAATTGTGTTTCTTTTTAATCTGAGCTTGAATATCCAAGTGGTTGGTTGAATAATCTGTTTTAAGTATTTTGTAAAGATGGCTAAAGTGCTAAAATCTTCTATTTTACTAATTATTATCTTTTGTATTATGAATGCTGAGTGTAATGGCTTGTGACTGATTTATGTCTTTTAATATTTTGTAGAATTTCCAAGGGCATGGCCTTATGAGAGTGTCAGCTACTGGTTCTTCCACACCAAGTACATCACAAACTACACAAGCCACTAATCAGCCGTGGCTATCATCGGGATCACAAGGGAAACCTCCTCTGCCACCCCCTTCGTATAGACCACAGATTAATTCACCATCCTTGCAGCAAAGGTCACATATTTCTCAGCAACATCATTCCTTGCCAACAGTTCCGCAACAACAGCATGTATCATCTCAACAATTGCCACAACAGGAGCATTTCAGGCAACAAATGTCACCTACATCGAGGGCCTCTCAATCTTTACCCTACCAACAAGCTACGAGAGCCCAGGGTTCTGTAAATCAAAAGCCTTCTTTTCTTGCAATGGTACAATCAAGCACGGTTCACTTGGTGAACCAAATAAAGCGGCTCTTACAGAGGGTGATGAGTCTGGTGGCAAGATTCTTAGCAAAAGAAGCATTCATGATCTAGTTAATCAGGTGAACAGTGAACTATCTGGACCTAACCCTGCATTTTGGATCCTTAGATTACATTCCAGGATCTTAAGATCTTGTCAACTTATTCTATTATCATCCAAATCTATGCATTGTAAAAGTGATTAAAAAATGTCCTTAAATCTGTTGTGTTATACCCATTAATTACTCGAAATGCCCTTCATATATTTAGTTTATAGTAAAGGGATTTTGCATTATACCATTTCTACATTTGTATAATATTAATTTTTCACTAGGAAGGACCAATATACAAAATTGTGATCATTTTAGTGACTCAGGGATTTTCAGCATTTATGTTTCGATGAATTTAATTTTCAGAATATCAATTTTGTCAAGGCATTTATTGAATGATCTTTCTGAGGCGGGTCTTTAGCATTTCAATTGCTCAAATCCTGACTAAAGAGCGATGGATTTCCATGCTTCTCTATCTTAAAGTATAACTTGTTTTATTTGTATGCAGATTGATCCATCTGAGAAGTTGGATCCTGAAGTTGAAGATATTCTTGTGGATATTGCAGAAGACTTTGTGGATTCTGTGAGTTGAACTTTTTATTCAAAGAACTTATCGTGTGTGTGTACTTGGGGTTGGGCATATCTCAAGATACATGAGGACCATTCAAGTAGGATGTTTTTAAGATCATATTTATTAAAATTTGTTACACCTTGATCAAACTTTGGTTTATGGATTTTGATTGCATAGAAATTTGTCAAATTGGCCCTCGTTCTTTTTTGAGTTAAATTTGATCCTCAATCTTTTAAAAGACAGGCAAATTGATTTTTTTAATGAAAATGTTGATTAAAACATTAAATTTTGAAGTGGTAGTCCTCATGTACTTCATACCGGCGTAGAACTATGTCTTACATGCTACGTCAACCAATAATTAAAAAATATTAAATGATTAAAAAAGTCAATGAAGTATACTTGGTGGATCAACTAATTGAGTTTAAACTTTGACTTTGTTGAATTCTTTTTAATGTCTTCAAAATTTTAAGAACAATGAGTCCCATTCCACAGCTGAAATGGGACCTGAGCTTCATATGAAGAGCGAAACTATGTTGGATGAGAAGTCTTATACTCTATTTGCTCTACTCAATTAGGATGTTTTGATTTTCCTTTTTCCTCTGTAGTTTTCTTGGTTTTTGTCTCGCTACATTTTACGTTGGTTCTGTGGAACTTAATATTACAATTTCTGCTTCATTCTTGAAGCTTTCCCATTAATATATGACCATCATCCAATCCGTTTTCGTATTCTTTTCATTGTTTTCTTCAACAGATCACAACATTTGGCTGCTCACTGGCTAAGCATAGAAAATCAGATACATTGGAAGCAAAAGACATTCTCCTACATCTTGGTTAGTTATTTCGTAAAATTGTTTACTTTGGTTTGCTTTTCGTCTTTAATATCTAGTACTTCAACTTCTATTGTTTTATGGCTTGATACAGAAAGAAATTGGAATACGACTCTACCCGGATTTACCGGTGATGAGATTAAGACTTACAGAAAACCGGTATATTATTCTCTTTTATCTATAAAATTGATTTTGGATGCATGATTGTTTTCGAAGGGAATCGAATTTGCTCTTACAGCTTTATGGTTGTATGTATATTTTTCTCTTTTTTGCAGCATACAAATGAGGTTCACAAAGAGCGGCTAGCAGCTGTAAGTGCCTATTTCTCATTTCATCGCAAATTATAAGCTAAGATGTATTTTTCTTTTGTATTTTTACATACGAGTGTGTGAAAGGAAGAGGTTCTATGCCCTAGACATTTTGTTGATCTATGCGTAGGTGCGGTTACGTTTCCTTTGAACTTTCTGGTGCCCGTTTCTTGTTGGCAGATTAAGAAATCAATCTTAGTTAGTGAGGCATCCAGTGGGAAGCACTTCGTCGGCCAAGCTGGCGTAAATGCAAAAGGTAACCATGGGAAAGCGGCTGCTAATACCTTGGGCTCACCAAATGTTAAAATCCGAGAAGTGACATGAGGCTCCTCTCTTGACATTGTTGAATATCTGAAACGTTTTTCCTTTAAAGGTATGGGAATTATTGGTGCATGCCATTGACGTTTATGGGGTTGTGTTAGTCATTATGCTAAATCATAGCCGGCATGTTTCTTTGCGAGTAATGTAAAGAGCTAGTACTATCTTGGTCCCCGATGGTTAGATTCGAATCGCAGTCGCCGCCATGTTTTATCAAAAGAGAGATGAACCTGGCATGTGGTTTCATGAGTCATGGGCATGGAATGGATTATCGTGTGCCTGATTGCCTATGAATTAATCGAAGTTTTACTTGATGTCCATGCAGGATCAGGATGAATTGGTGATGGGCATGACTTTTTTTGCTTGATCTGGGATGTGAATAAAGATGTTGAATTTGTTCTTAATCTAATTCCTCCACATCGGAAGCTAAGTTGAGGGTTTTTGTAAACTTAAACTGGTTGGTACCCTACAACTTTCATGTGTTGCTGTTTGAGGGTAGGGCATGTGCAGAAGAAGATAATTGTAGGAATTTGTTAACAACCAAACCTTGTTTTTATTGTATGATGTAAAATCAATATCTGGAAAATGAAAGAATCTTATGAAGCTAAGCCCAAACCCCACTTTCTGTGATTGATTTGCGTATTTCCATTATATATTTCATTTGTCACTCCGCCGTTACGTCAGTAACGAGATGATGACATTGCTAACAGTTGTTGATGTGGTATGTCACGTCAAAACGACATCATTTTGGTGCAGTTGTTCTTATGCTTAAAACGATGTTGTCTTAGACATTAAACTTTAGGGTATATCGATTATGCTACTGAATTTTTAAACAAATTTCTTTTTTATCGCTGCTTTTTTCAATCACCGTTGACAGCCAATCGTCGTTCGTCACCGATCATCTTTCGCAGCAAAATTGGTACTAAAAATGTTCGCATTTGACTTTTCATTCTTCTCGTATGATTAGTTTCCAAGAAACCTACTCAAAAACGAAATTAAACACAAAAAATCAATCATTTTTTTAGAAGTTTTGAGACTTTATTAGATTTACGGGAATAGGGGCGTTTGTTAAAAAATCTGAACAATAAAAAACATTATTTCAAGAAGACGAATAATATACCTCAAAACTAGTCTCATCAGTTGGTCATTGAAAGAGATCAGAGTATTAATATGTTGAACTTTTAAACAGATTTTCGTCGATTTAGAATGAGTTTCATGAAAATCAATCATAGGAGAAGAAATATAAGTGAAATACGAACGTTTTGATATCAATCTTGTTGTGAAATGTGATTATGAATGGTGGTGCATTGCTGTCGGCGACGACCGGAAAGTGAAGTGGCAAAAGAGAAAATTGTTTAAAAGTTTAGTAACAAAATCGATACAACCCAAAAATTGAATATATGATACGACGTCGTTTTAAGTATCAAAATAGCTACACCAAAATGACGTAGTTTTAGTGTGGCATGCCATGTCAGCAACTACTAACTATGTCATCGTCTTGTTAGTGACTCAACGACGGAGTGACATAATTAAATGTATAACTAAAATTTAGCACTCAGTAGTGTAACTCAACATTAATTATTAGGGGGCATTTTCAATATATATATATATATATATATAATTAAAAATTATATATTAATATATCATATTAATAAAAAAATTATAAAATTTAGAATTTATTCGTTCACATAAAAATTTAATGAACAATATTTATCTAATATTTTGCGTTTTCCTATGATTTCACGCAACTTATAACATATAACCAACAAAATATATTAATTTAATTTCATACTAATTTCACTTGACATACAAATCTAATGAATTTTAAATTTATATTTATAAAATCAAAATATTTAGAAATATTTTAAAAATATATATAAATTTGTGTCTAGGTTTTTTTAGAGATGAAAATTCATGAACATGTATAATAAATATAACTATTTAAAATAAATTTATAAATATTAATTAAACTGAAAATATTTTTTTTAAAAAAATTGCCTTCAATCGAAATGAAATATTTAATAACTTGATTGAAGTTCTCAACTCAAAAAAGGTGTAGAACCAAGCATAAAAAATACAAAGAATTTTTTTATCTTAAAATAAAAACAAAGAAAAATATTTTTTTTATTTATTTAAAAATAAAATAATAATACAAAAATAGATATTAATTCTTTCTAATAAATGATATTTAGGTAGTTTCCAAATTTTAAAATAATATAAATATTTTTTTGGAAGAACCAAATTTAAATTATATATTTTTTATAATTTTTTTATAGAAACAATTAATTTTATTTAAAATAAAAATATCTCAAATTACAATAAAGATTTGAAATTGCATTCTTAAATTAAATACATAATTAAGAAAATTTCTTATAATTATTGAAATAACACTAACAACTTAAGATCACATAAAGATCATACAAGGAAAGATTAAAAATTTAACCAAAAAACTCGAAAAAAGTTATATACAAATAGATTATATCGCATCGGTAAACGACCCATAAAAGGGGATCAAACTATTGAAAGATCACCGACAAACCGTAAATCAGATTCGAACGAAGTGAAAAGCTATCCACGAATGCAAATCGGGTATCCAAATCCCATCTGAAAGTCCACGCACACGCACACACACGCACACGCAGCACACGCAGCACGCACGCACACACACACACACACAGCACGCACGCACACGCACACACACACAGCACGCACGCACACGCACACACACGCACACGCAGCACGCGCGCACGCGCGCACACGCACACACACACGCACACACACACACACACACGCGCGCGCGCGCACACACACACACACACACGCACACGCACACGCACACGCACACGCGCACGCGCGGAAGATCAACAAGAAATCAGATAAGCATTATCTTGATCAGTCGTGACGATGTCAAATGAACCCTTAGAAAAAATATAAATAAAAAAACCTCCGAAAAACCTAAAAACATGACAAAAAGTTTAAGAAAATATGACATAAAGACAGATGAAAACGTGTCATGCACGCAGACTTATTGAAAAGCAAAAAAAAAAGATACGATATAAAAAAGAAAAAAACAATAAAGAACATTAACGATTGGCAACCAACATTAAATTTGGTGCCGTCAACCAATCAACAAAGATGAAAAATAAAAGAGATGAACAACACACCAATAAGAGAAAACTAAGTTTTTCCTTTATTAAATCTTAAATTATATTTTTACAAAATTAAATTTAATAATTATATATATATATATATATATTTAATATTTTAGTGGGGTCCATGACCCCACTAGTCCTAAGGAGATTCCGCCTCTGTTAGTATTATAACCAACAAAATTAAAAGTTTAATAATATAAACAAATTAATGGACAAAATTCAATAGTATTTACTATAGTTTACTGTTATTTTTATTTAAATTAATGAGATGTAATTTATTTATTTTAAATTAATGGAATGTAATTTATTTATTTCGAATTAAGTTTTAAACTTCTTATAATAAACAAATACCATCCATTGCCATGTGCTTCAACGTGGGTTCAATCCATTTTGGATTCATTTTCTTTAATAACACATCTTATTCATCAAAGAGATTAATTTTTTTCTTCTAAATTTAAAGTTCATATTAAATGAAAAAAAATTAAGATCAGGATAATTTTGAAGAAGAAAATGAGGCCCTCATAAAGTAAAATATACATAATAAATTTTAATTATTAGAAATATTTATGGTCATATATGTTCATCGTGATTAAACTTGTATGTAGCCACGGAGTCAGATTTAAATATTGGTAGGTGTCAACACACATTTTTCGTCCTACTAGGATTGAAACTCCTAAAAATAGGATAGAATTTTAGGATTCAAACTCCTAAAAATAGGATAAAATTTTGCTAGGATTCAAACTCCTAAAAATAGGATAGAGTTCTACTATTATTTAAATTCCTAAAGATAGGATCCACAAGCACTATAAATAGCCATTGTAACTCACCATTGTAAGACACGATGGGCATACGAAATTACCAGAAAAAAATACGAGCAAATAGATTGTTTTGAAGCTATTGTAAACAATTCAGGAGCAATAAAAGGTGAAAACTTTTACCTTTCGCATTCTTTTCTTCACTTGCATGTGTTGTTATTCGTCTTTGTGCTTGAAAAAAAATAGTTTTGGCCGAGGAAAAGGGGTTGTCGTTCGAAACTTTTCTTTTAGATCTACACAACCCCGAGGCCGTTTTGGAAAAATACTAGAATATTTAAAACGAGGGAAGGAAAAGATTTTAAAAATCAATTTTTTTCGAGGTTTGTCGCCGATGAACGGTCCCTTATGTATTATTTTCATATTTTTATTTATTTCTTTTTGATAATTCGTATTATTAAGTATATATATATATATTAATTTTATTCTAATATTATTTTAATGTTTTTTAAAGTTATCATATATATATATATTTATAACTATTATTATTATTATTTTACTATTAACGTATATAAATATATTTTTCTCTTTTGCTACTATTATTATTTACTATTACGTATATAAATATATTTTTCTCTTTTGCTACTATTATTATCATTATATGTATATTTTTATTGTATTTTATTTTTTATTTTTACTTTTTTTAAACATATGCATATATACATTTAATTATATTTTTATATTTTACTTTTTTTTTTTTTTGTTTTCATGTATTTATTATATTACATTATTATTATTTTACTTTATTAAATTATTTTTTTTCGTTATTTATTTATTATATATATATATATATATCATAATGTTTTTTTTTTATTCATTCTTACTATATTATAGGGATACATCACACTCATTTATTAACTACGGTCCTACCCCTTATCGTCTTTTTCCTTCCCGACAGTTATACTTCACCAAACCTTGACTTTCTTTTTTTACTTTCTTTTGGTGTGATTGCGTTTTTTTTTATTTTACTACTTATTATCATTATTATTATTTTGCACTTAATAATTATATATTTTTATTCCTCTTTTAGTTTTTCATCATTTTTTTTATTTTTTCCCTTCTATTTTCTTTATTTCATTTACTCTTATTTCTTTTTTCCTTTAACGCGTTTCTCGACTTTTTAAGGGTACTCTTTCAAATTGATTGGAGGTAAGTAATTTTGGATCATATGTTACCTTTAAATTTTAACTTTCGATTTTCTTAATTAAAAACAACTGGAAATTACGTAGTACCGAAAGGGCGGTTCAAGGGTGCTAATCCTTCCTTGACCGTAACCGACTCCCGAATCCGACATATCTTTGGTAAGACGCAGATCAGGTAAGATATAAGGTATCCGATTAACCTTTTTTTTTTAAATAAATAATCGGTGGCGACTCCAATCTATTTTCCTAAGTCGAAGCCCAATTCCGGGGCCCAACCGAAAGACGGTTACGACAGCTTGGCGACTCCGCTGGGGACACATGTAAGTGAGTCAGGCTAAGGTAATTTCCAATTGTCTTTTTAACGAAAAGGGTAAGTTTAAATTTTAAGGTAACATTTCGATCCTTATTGCTTACTTTTGATTA